ATTATTTAATAAATTGTTGTGTTATTTAACGAATTGTTTCTATAAATTGTAATTTAAATTACTTGGTATTTTCGATCAATTTATATGAAAACAGCTATACATAATTATTAATTTAGTATTTCTTAAAACACCTAACCTATTGCTAGGCCATATCAGGCTCTTAGTTCCAATCGATTTATTTCTGAGATCGCGGAGATTGTGTCGGGATTAAGTTACAAAACACAAATACCGGTGTATCGATAGCGTTAATCAATTAGAAGCATAATCGCTCGATTGATTTAACTACGGGAAATCGGCCACTTTTCAACGTCGAGCTCAGTGTCTAGGAAATTGTTCGATTAGCACTTGCCGCTTATTGCGAGGATTAGAATTAATGTATTTTAAATGAAAATATAAGTGACAAATGCACTTCCATCTGTTTTAACGAAAAAGGTCTAACCTCTCACATATTAAATATCAGAAAAGCTATTAAACCATATTATATTTATGTTTATTTTCAGTTTTAAATATTGACTTTCCTCGACGGTTTGGGTCATATAAAATGTTAATATATGCAGTTTAATTGAATGTACAGCCTTGAAAATCACACATACACACTCCTTTATGTCGAAATTATCTAAGTTCACTGAATTCATACATTTTATCGTAGATATATTACTTATTTTCGGAATTAACAAGTAATTACAGTTTCAATGAAAATATTTTATTCGATCAAAAGTAAAACCGTATTTTTAACCCCCGACGCAAAAAGAGGAGTGTTATAAGTTTGACGTCGATGTCTATCTGTCTGTGTGTGTGTGTATGTTCGTCTGTCTTGTCGTAGCTCTCAAACGGATGCGCCGATTTCAATGCGGTTTTTTTCATTTGAAAGCCAGTTTCCTTGCGGTGTTGGTTTATATCGGTCCAGGCGTATAAGAGTATCAGCTCTTTTAGAAAATGATCTACGGCGTTTTGGCGTATGATTACTCGATTAAGTGCTTCACGCATGCCAGCGTAATCATTAAATGACAATTAATTTGCGTAGGGTTTTTTTTAATGTTTAATATAAATTAATATATAATTTAAATTTGCAATTATATCGTTGTAAAATATACTATGTAAAAATGTAGAAATTCAAAATGTCTATCTTTTTGAAAACATAATACCTATATCCTATATTATCCTATTCTACATATATGCCAAGACCAACTAGTATTAAATTATTATAAAAGACGAAAGTCTGCCTACGCATTGAAAGTGCGAGATAACACTAAGTGCAGTAATATAATTTGCAGCATAATGGTACTATAATATTTAATAATAAGCACGTTTATATCGCACTAAGCGAAATAGATTTCAATCGACGAACTTCTACCGAGATCGGTTATCACCACGAACCTAGATAAAATTCCAGTCCGACCTGTCACGCTGTTTTCCCATCTTGTTTTCTCCAGAGCAATTGATGTTATCATTTATCAATAAATTGATCTAACGCTAGACGTGTAAGCTTTAAGAATATTTTCACTCCAAATGGTTACGGGAAAAGGATTTATTTTCCTGAATATGGAACTAGAAATGTTTTGATGTGATTGATAACATGTCTTTTCTAATGTTACTTTTATACCATGTCTTTAAATGATTAAATAGATTAATACTAAAACTACGTTGTACTCATTGTAATATAACAGTTTTTACTAAATGGATATGAAACTACGCTACTTAGAAAAACACAATTTTAATTTTTTTTGTCTGTCTGTTTGTTTCGGCTAATCTTTGAAACGGCTGGACTGATTTTGGCGGCACTTTCACTGGCAGATAGCTGATGTTATAAGTAGTAATTTAGGCTAATTTTATTTTAGAATAAGAATAAGTGTCTCGCGCAAAAAAAATATTGAATAAAGGTAGGATTAAGTTCGAATGTATGATTTCTTTGTATGTTAACCGATTACACGATTCTTTTTTAATTAATAGGTTCTTTAAAGGTACTGAATTAATATTTTCTTAGATTTACGCGAATATTTGATATTTTAAATAAAACTATCTTTTCGGTACTGAATTAGTTTGGAAAATTGGTGTTCTTTTAAACTCCTATATACACAGATAAAATAATAATTAAACAATTTATACTGCAGATTAAGATATCAGATATTAAAAAAAAATTGTCTCTGCTTCACATTGAGTCTCTTGCATGACCACTTACATATATGCCGACCGTCACACAAAGCACAATACGTCATGTCATTCTACCCCGGGTTTTTTATTTCATAGCACTGCTTTGCTTTAATCTTACCGTCTAGATAGCAAGGGTGTGTGAAATCTGTCTTTATCTCGTATAATGTCGTATGTATCAAGATTATATGTCGCAAGTTCTAACAGCCTTGTATCTATATAATACTGTAGTCTACAATTTCGTAAACCCTGCGGTCAGTTTGGTATGTGAACCATTATCCTACTCTTGTCGATAAATTGCATGAAAATTTCATGAGAGATTAAATACAACGAGAGTTTCTTTGTATTGCATAAACAGGAGATAAAAAAATACCTAAATATACTTACCATTTTGTCCTTATGACTCATGATTTAATGAAAAAGCAAGGAGTTGATTTCTTAATTAAGAATTAATAAAAATACAAAACTAAATGTATGCAGTAAACTACTAGTTTCAGCAATTCAAGTTATTATTATATATTAAAGGTATGGTATCTTTGACTGTATTTTCACTGGACGATAGAGGTCCTGTACCTCGGTGTATGTTAAATTGATTGTAAAAGCCAAAGTTGGGAGCCGGGTATTTTTTATGTCCGTGTTAGTCACGACACTCTAGAGGGCCTGAACCCTTTTACACGAGATATAACCTTGCATTTTATTGTTGCTCGAGGATAAACTAAGGCACTCGAGAGTATAATTTGACCGTCACTACTTTGTACATAATGCATATTATGTATATAAATTGTAAATAGAACCTAACAATTCTTCTCCATTTATAACGATGTTACTACATACATATTTTTTTTACCTAATAAAAAACAAAACATTACCAAATTAAGGAAGATGAAGCACTCCTCAGGACTACACCAAATAGTCATAAATATTGATACTAACTAGCCCTCCCTCAGCTCAGTGCTTACGGTTTTTTTTAATATTTCTTTAATTATTTTCTGAAATATATAAATATTTTCATATCATAAAATTTTATTATAGGCACATAATTTCCCTGACGCAATTAAAATTACAGTTGTAAAAAGTTGGATTTATCGTTGAATATAAGTGCACTCAACTCTTCCGTCGTAGGTAAAAAAGAGTAAACGTCAAAGAAAGTGGTTCCGGTAGGCGAGTGCAATACTTATTGCACTGGTATAAAAGCAGGACATTTACTGCTCGTAAATATTTGTACTGCAAAATAGGGGGCGATAACTTTTTAGGAGGCACTTCGGGTACGTTTTGGCTTGTCTGACCGAGCTTAACCCCACTTTGATGATATTTGAACCGTTGCATAATAATTACAGTACACTTGAGTTGAGTTTTCAGGAAATATTTTATTTATTTCAGTCGAATTTTATTTATTTCAGTCGAATTTGTCTGTCATTGAACATTAATAGCAGATATATCTACCTAAATTGGTTTAAAGCCTTTGGGATATTCATTTTGTACATTAATTACTTACATACTTTTCGCCATAAAAGATCCATAATTGAATGACTCATGCACTTTTACTTAAGCATGTAGTTACGGTAATTACAATCTTAAATGCCTACTCTGACATATAGTTGCAATTAATATAAAAACTTTGTACCTACCGAGCGGATGTCTTGTGACGGGCGAAAACTTGTATTAATACTGATTAATTATTAAGTACCTACATATATATTTTATTATTTTAACACGATTTAATTAAAAAGCAGTAACCTTAATAATTTTGAATACTATTAATTATCTACATATTTCTGCTAATCTGTAGTGAAGTGAAATAGTAACTTATCAGAATCAGTATGATCAAGATGTCTGTTACACTATAAAGTGTTGAAAGCTTATTTACTTAATTGCCTTATTTTAAGTGTTGGTAATAACTATGAATGATCAGTCTATTTTAAGAACTGTAAGAATTCAAGATGTAACCCAACTTGAATGTGAACTGATGATAGATTAATCACCCCTTTAACCGGGCTTATTTACCTAATGAGAATTTATTTCAAAGAAAAATATAAGAGCATTTGAAATGGTAATCCAAGGGCTATAACTTTATGAATCGTATATTTTATATTAAAACAAAGAAAGTATTTTCCATAAAAATATAATTTGTTATCGCATAATTCACATGTTAAAGCAAAACAACAGACAGGTTTTGACAGAAATTACAGCTTCAATTCATTAATATAATTAAATTACTCTTACACAACGGGTAGAGTCTTCGTCAATTACCACAGCTTTTCGCAGCAAAACAGCTCTTTAATTACGTTTTACAATATAATCTCAACGATCTCTATAAAGCTGTAAGCGGCCCTGAGTACCATCAAATAGGAAACTAAATTACTTGTAATAAAGAAATAAATCATTTTACTTTCAACAATATGCATAATTAAAGTTATGCAGTTATGATATGCTCAAAATGTAGTCGTTTGACCCAACTTTATAGCTACTATAAATTATAGCTGTATCGTTGGATATGTTTTATAGAAGTGAGAACGAATTACCGTATTTATAACCTATGATGATTAAATAGTTTATTTATATGCCATATATATTAAAGCCAATCTACACAATAAAAAAACGTATGTTTGTACTTATGTACGCACGTAAGAAATTATACTTCTTTGGCGTAACAGAACAAAAATAGCTAAAGATCTCATCCCGTATGTCACAACTCTCTGTTTGTAAAAGGAATGCAGCTAACTTCATCATGTCGCTTTTTGACTGTCGGTGTGCGCGCGCATCGTTAAAATGTTACTCTCATATATAATTTTTCAAACGAGCCAAAAGAAGTATAACTTCAATAAGCATACTAATTTCAAATGTTTTGTCATATGAATAATAACAAAGCAGCCTTACAATTACGGAAGAGTACGTGGACGGTAAATCTGGTTACAGCTGTCGTACGCGAGCCTATCGGTAACTCGATATCGGGTTTATACGTCAAGTTTCCAGTAATATCGAAATAAATCAGGGGCATATGGTAAGGAATCACATTCTTAATTAAAAATTTACTTTTCTTACAAGATAAAGACTAAGTATACATAAATATTAAATAGTACTTATATAAGACAAATCATATACTTAATATAATTACCATTCGCATGAATTAGTCCCCAGAATACATATACCTACTAATACTTTAAGCAAAAACCGAGTGCATCGCCAAGATCTCTTGCCAGTAGAAGAAGTTGTGACTTATTGAGTTTTTTCATGACAATTCTATTTGCACTATATTTAGAAAATGCATTAAGTATAATGTGTACGTTAATACTTTGCTTTTCAAATCACTACGTGCTACTCGTAGTGGACGTAGCTACTATTCTCAGTTCTAATCACTCACTGTCTGAAGAGACAGACACGTGGGATTGCAGTGTTTGTTGTGCAGTTTGCCGTGTTTGTACTTCATATATGTTTTTCATTTTCCGCCTGCAATAGTTACATATTGAAGAATTTCGTTGTTCCTACCGCGTTTCAACCAAATCGGAATTAACTTCTATGTGATCAAATCCGAATTGCCGAATTGAATTGAAGAATAAAGGTTTTTTTTTAATAAATAAATAGAGTAAAATTTATCGCCATGTCTCTAATTTTAAATATGAAGATTTATTCAGTAATCTTAAATAAGCCCCGTCTTCGATGTAATCACGCGACACACGGGCGACAAAACGTGGGTGTTGCTCTTAATCGCACAATATGTTAAATCTTCCAAATGCCGCTTATATCTAATAGAATGTAGTTTATATAAACTCTTTTTCTGTAATAAATATTTTATGTATAAGTTTAAAAAATAATATATGTATAAGGGTACCCAAGGGAAAAAATTATATTTTATAAATTACTTAATATAGTATCATCTATACATATAATAACATTGTAACTAAGCCGAATCTGTACATTAAATATTTTTTGGAGAACTTTATTGAAATAAACATTATTATCGATACAGAGGCCGAATCTATAGTTTTTAGAATTTTTGTCTGTCTGTCTGTCTGTTACCACATCACAAAAAACCACTGGAGGGATTTTGATGAAATTCGGTGTGGTGATAGCTGGTTATCCGGGTCAACATATAGGATACTTTTTACCGCGGGAAAATATCTCATTTCTGAGAAAAAATACAAAAACTGCATTGTAAGAGTATACTAATATGTAAAACCTAAGAATTTGGTTTTTGGTTATCTGAACGCGGGCGGAGCCGCGGGCAATGGTAGTCAAATATAATTTCATATGAAATATTAAACATTATATATAACACGTTTAATGTGATACCTGTTATACTTTAATGAAGAGTACATATCAATATTACAATGTAATACCTATCTAGTACGAGTGAAAAATGTCTATAGCTAATATCATCTTAATTATTTAATTTTGCTTCTTCAGTCCGTTTCCTCGAGGTAATGTTGGCAAAAACAACCCCGATTTTGATGGAAAAGAATTGTGTTAATTGCACTTTCCACAAATAAAATTTATTTATGTTTGCGTGAGAAAGAGAAAATATATTTATCAATAAATTAATCGGAGCAATTTGTTTTATGTCGATTCTGTAACTTTATTATTCTCACCTCCGTTAGCATGCTCCTTAGATAGTTATGACATCCGGACACGAGCCGCTCTATACAAAGTACAGTGGTCGTGACACTCGCTATTCTGGTTTCACTCCGTAGATTATTTCTTGCACTTACAAATTACTATAGCGCCTCTATTCAAGATCATAAACGTTAACTATAGTTCCGATAAATGTAAATGTTTATACATACAGTAAATAGAAGATCCATTAACTTGTGCAATTTGTTGAAAATAGCGATACTAAAACCGGTGAAAACACTTCTGCTGCAAAATAATATTTTTATTATCAGTTTATATCACTTGCTAGAACTTGCAAAAAACACCAGTACTCGTATCTTATGTACTTACAACTTGTCCGTCAAATATTATATAGAAGATGTTTTTTATTCCAGCCCCCACCGGTCGTTCACGCTCCTCCGGTGGCTCTACCGCCTCCCACAGCTGTGTCTGCGCCACCGGCCTCGCACTGCTCTGCGCCCAGGACTATCGTTATACAGAGACCAGACGCGCGTCACGGCTTCGGTTTCACGCTAAGACATCTTGTTGTTTACCCACCGGAGTCATTACAGGTAAATATTATATATACATAAATTATAAAATTATATGACCTCATAATTGATAACCAGGCTTTCGTAAAAAAAATTCTGACATTTATAATAATTTGTTATCAATATACTTTAAAAGAAACAAGGGTGACATTAATTAAACATGCCTCTCTTAACCCATTGATGTTATAAATAACTACAAAATAACTAGTGAATCATAAATAATTTAATTAAAGGAACTATACGAGGATGCGCGCCACCTGGCTGTGGGCGCAGTGGGTGCGCCAATGGACACAATCTTCGTAAGGTCAGTGAGGCCGGGCGGGCCGGCGGCCGCGGCGGGTCTGCGCGCGGGCGACCGCGTGCTAGCCGTGAACGGCGAGCCCGTCGCCTGCGGCAGGTCGCGCGCGCCATACGCTAGGGTAGTGCAGCTAGCTCAGAGGGAACCCAAAATCTTAAGGCTCACTGTCGTGCCGAGGGATCACGATTTATTGCAAAGGGTAAGTGGTTCTTTATTATATAAACATTATTTTCAATGTCATCATAATGATGAAAGTTTTGAATTATTTTATTTACTAAGAGACAACCTAATCAATGTGTTACTTCAGGTCATACTATTAAAAATAGCCTACGGCACTCGGTGATAATCTAGCTTTCTATCAGTAAAAGAATTTTCAAATTTACCCCTCTACGCCCAAATATTAAAACTTTGCCTCTTTATATGTATTAGTTAGATACAATCTATTCATAGATCAGTGCACTTTAATTAAAACTTTATAGATGATATAATTTAAATGTTGCCCATATGTCCAGTATTTCAGTGAAGCAGCGTACAATCCAGAAACAAACCAGCGGCCGCTCGACATGCCGGCGGTCACAGAACACGAGTCGCGTTTGTTCGACGCGTACAGACGGCCGCGGCTGCCCGCCTTGCCCGCGCCCCAAGCGCCCGCCAGGCACAGAGAGGATCCGGAATACGCGACCGTAGCGTCTCCAAGATTTGACGTGCCACGACTGCCGACTACACCACATTATCTTTTACATGATGGGTGAGAAATATTATTTTTACTTATCTTTACATAATACTCCATTCTAACATCGTGATAGGTAATACAAAGTTAGGTAAGCTTATGTATCTTCGAAGTTCGAACTAATTCAATGAAATACTGTTCACAGCAGGCGAGAATCCGATACGTCTCTACCATCATCAGCGGCGGAGAGCAAAGACAGTCTCGGCTCATTCGACTCAAACTCGACACTCACGGGCCGAGAGCTGGACGACTCGATCATCCTCTCCCGAATACGAAAGAGTCTTGAGCAGAAGGAGGCCTTCCTCCGACGTCCCAGCCAACCAACTGGCTGGGTTACACCCGACCCACCGCCAATTAAACAAAAAGAGTTTTACGCTAGGCCTCAAAAGCTGCAGAAACCAGCCTGGCCTCCTCCTTCCTCCCCACCCCTTGCAGCGTCCCCTCCACCTCCACAAATACAGGAATTAAAGAAAGAAGAATGTGCAACAAGTGTTGATAGTGGCACTTACAGTGGATATGGGGAAGTCAACGGTCACATAGATAAAAGTAGGTTAAAACAAGATAAAAGCCAGTTTGTGGCGACACTCTCGAAGATACAGGAGACGTCTCCAAGCACGAATGTCGGTACGATGAGTAATGGATCGTCTACCGAATTCAAAGATGAAAATGCTTCGGCTACTAACCAAGATAATAGGTAAATATAATATTAATGCTCATCATTATTTCATCTTGCTTATAGTAATTATTTTTTGAATGAACCCTGAAAGTTGGTAGTTAGGTGTAAATTTATTTTTTATATCTTTCAAATGATCCAGAAAAATTGGTAAATGTACCATTTTTTACTATTTAATAAAAAACTAAAAAAAAACTAGATTAATGTGAAATTTATGAACAACTCAAAACTTATTAACCATAAAGAATATTAAAATTTTAATTTATTATTTTATTTATTTTTTTATAATTATGGTTATACATAATACTCGTATAATAATAGCAACACTAAATAATATTAGTAATTAATAAAGTTTTTAAAAAATTGTAATATGTATTTATAATAATAACAGCAAAATTAAATAAATAATATTGCTATATTTAATTATAATATTTATTAAAAAAATTAAAATGCTTAGAAATAAAAATCAACTAATATTGTAAGGTACTGTATTGCCATTTTTTTAATTTTTGAAATCATTTTTGTAAAATACACTGTCTGTATTGTAAAATACACTGTCTGTAACAAGTATGTGTTTGAGACGTCTATAACCTTAGTCTTTCCCGTGACCATGATTGCTGTAAAGCATTTGAAACGTCGGGAACCAAAAATGAAAATAAATCCGCGAAATAATCAAAATATCCTACTAATATTATTTCATGTAAAAGATTACGTATGGTTTAACTGCGTTTAAATGGATTTGGATGAAAACTAAGATTACCACGAGGATATTATGACATGTTACTGTAACTTTATATTTACACCACAAACCACCAATCATCACAGATACCCTGTACCTGAGCTCCAGCTAGTGACGGCGCGCACGCGCCAGCTGGAGGAGGCCCGGGGCGTGGGCGAGCGCCGCACGGAGGTGGCCCGCAGCGAGCTGGCGCGGCTCTCCACCACGCGCCTCGAGCCCAGCGTCGCGCTGCGGAGGAAGGAGTTCGAGACACGCGCTTCTAGAAGAGAAGCCAGGTCTTTAGATGTGCAACCTCAGCAAGGTACACCTCACTTATATATAATGCAGCTCTCCTTTATATACATAGTGTAGTGTGGCGGTTTATGTAGTGTGGTGTGAATTAAAAACATTATCTCGCTGACAATTTCTTAAAAACTTGGGCTCAATGCAGTACATCGTCGCTTCTCAGAAGGTTTTATTAAAAATTAAAATAAGTTCTATACAGGAAATTATCCACTTGCACTTGTTTTGTCGGGTGTTTTACTTTATAATTTAACACCGGATTTTTTTTCTGATACGATATAGGATGATTCTATATGGGATTAATTTTGTCCATCCAAATCCTTGATCTGGACGTCAATAAACGACTCATGACAAGTAATTTCATATTTTTTTAATATTACTTAATAATTTACCTTTATCATATTACAGATTTAGAGCAAGAGTCGACACTTCTCGGCGGCAGTCTGTCAGGAAACCAACTAATGATCACCGGCAGCAAACACCTCCATTGCCCTCCTCCAGATGGATACGTGCCCGGTAATTTACAAATATCTATTTTAAATCAATTAGCTATCATTCAAAATTAAATACATATATAGAATAGAAACCACCTAGTTCCTAGTTTTCATGCTTAAAGTTATATCAAATTAGATTTAGTCAGTGGCTTTTATTCTTTTTAGAAACTGAAAAGGTTCAAATGCGAACAAGGTCCAATAGTACCGGTAGTGAAGGATTATCTATTAGAAGACATCATGCCACAGGTAAAGAAAACCTATATCACATACATTTTTGTTTTTATTTGTTTTTATTTTTGATTTTAATTTGCTGTATAATTTTGTTAATTTGGTAAGTAACCAAAAAAAAATAATGCGGATTTTTTAAAATCACTTGCTTGGCTGCATTACCACTTTTAAAGGATATGTTAAGATTACATTTAAGAAATCAAATGATAACTAAAATTGGGAAATCATTACTCATAGATGGCGCGTTTTGATGTGTTAACAAAAGTCTTGTTTTGTCTTTATTCTGTTTTAATTAAATTTTTGTGCCCATATATTATCTATGTTTCATAACCTTTAATATTCTTTATAAAATTTCACACAAATATTTCTTCTTAATATTATTCTACCACATTAAGTCTTAATAAAGCTAAAGAAATAAACAAAATAACAATCAGCGCCATCTATCGGTAAAGCATAGCAAACTCGCTTGGCGTTTACCGCGACCTCTGTGACCGGTGGCTACTATTGCATATTCCGCCCAAAGATGGCAGTCACGCGAAGAGACGTATGGGGCTGAACAGAGAACAGATGGAGGCGATGAACCGCGTGTCGCTGGGAGATGTGCCGCAGAGGCCGACGCAGCTGAGCCTCGCCTCGGCCTCCACCTCGGCCTCGGCCTCGGCCCACACGTCGCCGGAGCCCACGCCCACCACGCCCGCCGACTCAGGTCCCGAGACGCTCTAGCTCCCTCCCCAACTAATGCAATGCCTTAACTAAGCTAGCTTAGCTTTAGCTTATATAATTATTATTTTATATACAATGGGATTTACTAACGTATATTTTAAATCAAAATTCAAAATAAAACTAAATTGTATTATTCAAAGATTTAAATAAAACTCCTAACAATTTTACACGAAAGATTCTTTAAAACCAAATGCATAGTTAAATGTTAATGCATGGCTTATTGATTCCGAGGTACCAGGAGCTCATAAATGGGAGGGAGCTCTATGGATCAAACTCTGTCCGCTGCATTAACCGAATGCATTGTGTGTGCTTGTACGTGTGCTACTAATGCCGACTAACATGTCATAATCGATGTTTAATGTTAATTAACCTCTTGTTATATGCTATATATAGGTTTTGAAGTATTTCTTTGGTACGCAGGTTTTGCTGATGATTTGGTGACGAGACGACAGAAAAAAGATGCTCAATTGGGAGGTCAGTGAAAAATTGTTACTTACTACTAAACATTTATAGATTGCAGATAATTGTTTTTTGAAGTTATACTTCTTTTGGCACGTTTGGAAAAAAATATGAGAGTAAAATTTTTACGATCCGCGCGCACACCGACAGCCAAAAAGCGACATGATGAAGTTAGCTGCTTTCTATTTACAAACGGAGAGTTGTGACATACGGGATGCAATCTTTAACTATTTTAGTTCTGTTATGCCAAAGAAGTATAATTTCTTACGGGCGTACATAAGTACACATACACTTTTTTTTATACTAAATTTTATAAAAAAATAATGTAATGAAACTATTACGCCAGCAGAAGAGGAACGTGCCATGCGCAGGGTTTCTTACCTAAAAGCGACGTGGGGAGATCGACTGCACTTAGATGGCGATGTGGAACCGGACGCGGATCACCACGCTTTAAGAAGGTATTGTAAATCTGATTTAATTGTTTATTTCTAAGAATAAATCGTTTATATCTGCCAAATTAAATAATTAATGAAATACGATTTTTGTATGTTCGCCGTATTCAAAATTTCAATTAAATTTAAAGAAAAATGTGATATAACTTAATGGCTTAGTTAAAGTAATAAATATTAAAAATATTTTAAAATTACGAAAAATTGTTTTCGAGGAAAATCAAATATGGCGTCAATATTAGGTATAATACACACACACACAAGTGTAAAAGCTTCAATTTAAATAGTAACAAAAAGTAATCACAAAATGGCAGATATAAATGAAATGAATGTCCATTTCCAGTAGACCCTAAGTAGTTAACTTTCAGTACAAAACAGATTTTCATTAACATGTAACTTATATGTGTACTGTAGACGTAAAGCACACTACATGTACTTTCCTCAGAACATCACATTGTTGTAGATAGATTATTATATATTTGTAAAGTCGAACAAAACAATCATCATCGTGTGTTAATTGTCGCGTGAATTATTTGGTTTCTGTATGTGTTTTGTGAAAAAACGCAGTGTTTACCGAAAATGGCGCCCTCCACGATTCACTGAAGACATAACGCCGTTGCTGCGAATATTCGACCCCCAAGCCTCCCTCCCGCAGCGGTACGTGACGTCGCGGCTCTCACGCTTCTTACTGGGTTGCAACACTGAAACACTGCGAGATATTTTTCAAATTATTCATGTATTTTGGAGTTGGAACAAATATCATATTTGAAGCAATTAAAAAAACCATTAATACTAAATTTTACTTAAACGAATATTATTTTACAATTTAAAGTTCATGTACTTTTTGTTATAAATAAATTATTTATTTGGCAAGTAAAATATCTCGCAGTGTTCAATGTAACCTAGCCCGTACTGTGTGGCTGTTTACAGCGTTCGAATGATAGATGGCGCTACTTATAATTTTTTTCCCAAATACTTCAGAAAATGTACAAAGCTGAAAATCCATTAGTTCCCTCATATATAATACATTGAAACAAGCATAAAATATATTATTGTAATATTGATTCATAAATTAACCAAAATCATAAAATTGATGATAAAAACGTGTCAGCTTTTGTATTTAGTTATTGCGAAAACGAAATAATTTTAGTGATATACATACATAATATATGTTGCATGATATTAGTGTTAATTTAAATGCATGTTAACTGGATGTTCTGTTAGTTGATTTGTACGTTGTTTAGTCGTCAGCATGTGCTATTAGATGGTCTTAGTGGCGTTTTCTGTGTAGTAAAATATAATAAAGTAATAGAATAAACATTGCGTAAATAGCCTTTTTGTATGTAAATATAAATATTAAAATTCGAAACGTTGTACAAGTGCGATGTGTAAATTATAATTTTCATATTGTATATTGTTTTTCGTATCAACCATATACATGTTTTATGTATCTAATAAATCTACATTATTTCTAATGCGCTCAGTACGGACAAGAAAGGTGAAGATGAAGGTGCTGAAAACGTTGAAGCCTCAGAAGCGGACGTGCAAGGCAATGTGCAAATAAAAATGGTGGTCAGTAACGGAAAGGTGAGCGATAATAATTTTAAGAATCTACAGAATTTATGTAACTGCCATTAAAATAATGTATAAAATGTTATTATTTAATTATTTTTTTTATAAATTTAATTTTTATTTATTTGAAACGGTAACGGTTAACGGTGATTTGAACTGCATAACATATTTAATTCGAATTTTTTAAGTCCTACTCGATTGTACCTACTATATTAATAAATCATCCATTAAAAAAAGCTGAAATATTTATAAATTAAAAATGAAACATTTTTTACGATATTATTCTTCTGTCTAGCGCGCAAGCGACAGATCGTGGAAGCAGGTGTGGGCGGTGCTGCAGGGCACCAAGCTGTACCTCTACAGGCATCACCCTACTCAGGTAAGTCATACAGAACAATATTCTTAAGGCCATCGTTACTTTTTTTAACCGACTTCCAAAAAGGAGAAGGTTGTATGTTCGTCTGTATGTATTTCTTTTTAATAATATAGATAATATGCTTTGAAAATATTTACAAAAAAAAAACAAAAAAGATTTTAGTTTTGCAAATCATTTCAATGTACATATTTCATATTTAATAACTTATCACGTTATTAAAACTTTATATAAAAATATTAGATTATATTTTAATCTATCTCAAATTGTTTATTTGGCGAAATATTTTAAAGGAAACTATCATATATTTAAAATATCTAATATTTTCGTAAATTTAACAAAGTATTAACTTATAAAATATATATTTATTATTTTCAAAAATAATGTTGAGAAATAAAACCATAATATTTTATTAGATAAAATTCATCATCTTTATTATTTTATGACGTCTTGCCATAGAATATGGGGCGGCGACCTTGTGGATCAATGTCGCCTACAGCGTACTCTAAAGAGCAAATATTTTGTACCGAGTTATAGTGCTAATGGCATATTGTTTATATGGAATTTTTTCCATTTTTTCCGTCAAAGAAGAACAAACGTGCCAACTCAAATACATTGTTTATATACTTTATTATTTGTTATTTCTTGTAGAATTCATTTTAAGTATGTACCTACATATATTTGGACGGTTTCCAAATAAAAAATCAAATAGCCCAATTAGTATTGATGCAGACTTTAAAATATTCTTTTTTAAATTTGTATGGAATCATCCTCGATGTTTAACCTAAACATTAAGAAAATGATTATGTAAATAAAACAAACAACCAAAATTGAAATCGCCTTCTTTGTAAGTCGGTAAAAAATACGCTGCAAACTGCGCAATAGTCAATATTACTGCTAAAACTACAAGTTACTTTCGCAACATTATTTTATTGGGGGATATTGAGTATTTAGTTACAGTGCGAATACAGAATACTGTATACAAAAATAATTTATTAAATTTAATAAAAAACCATATGGCGCACACACCCTATTGATCTAAGATCATTATAATTCACCACGTACCCTCCGAAGTCCTTATCATACGAGCAGTTGAACATTTCCTGCGAGCCATATATCACACCTGGTTTCCTCGTGCCGATTAACGGACTTCGTTAAGGATATACGACAGATGTCTTTGTTCTAACGTCTAATATCTATACATATAATAAAATTCTAACTAAGTCGAATCTTAAATATTTTTCTGGAAAATCTTATTGAAATAGACATTATTATCGATACAGAGGCCGAATCTATAGTTTTTAGAATTTCTGTCTGTCTGTCTGTCTCTCTGTCTATCTGTCTATCTGTTACCGCATCACAGAAAAATCACTGGAGGGATTATGATGAAATTTGGTAAGGTGATAGCTGGTTATCCGGGTCAACATATAGGATACTTTTTACCGCGGGAAAATGTCTCATTTCTGAGAAGCAATACAAAAACTGCAATGTAACAATATACTAATATGTAAAGCCTAAGAATTTGGTTTTTGGTCATCTGAACGCGGGCGGAACCGCGGGTAATGTTAGTTGTTTAAATAATATTATTTTCTCGTAAAACGATAAAATAACGTTTCGGCATTGGTAGCCCAGTGGTAACGCGCTCGCTTGGGAAACCGAGTGAAGCGGGTTCAAATCCCGGCTCTCGCACCCCTGATATTTTCATGTGCAAATCATTTTCAAGATGATTACCACTTGTCTTACGGTCAAGGAAATCATCGTGAGGTAACCTGAATGTTTGAGAGAATCTAGCAAGTTTTCGAAAGACGTGTGAAGTCCGTCAACCCGAACTTGGCCAGCGTGGTGGACTATGGCCTGATCCCCCTTGTACTGAAGGGAGGCCCGTGCCCAGCAGTGGGACGTTAAAAAGGGCTGAATACAGAACGATAAAAATGTTCTTATTTATTTGCTATTTCTTTAATTTAAGTACACCTTCATATTAAAACAGTACTAAAAACGGTTCGATAATAATTAAGAACGGAATAATATTCTCATACTATCTATACAATGTTAATGAAACACCAGAAAAGTATTGCCAAATTCCCTTATACCTTATTGTAGCTGATTTATTAAAGGTAAAATAATATATTATAGGTTCTTATAAAAAGTGGTACTTTAAAGGTACCTTCTATATAAATCGTCTCGTATAACACTAGTCATAAATAACCGATAGCAGACAATAAACTCATTAAAAACTTTAACACAACTTTATTCTCCCAATGAATTGCGTAGTAAGCCCTTAAGAAACACGTCCGTTGTGTACAATATAAGCACAGGATTTCACCGGCTCTTAAAACCTGTGACGCACGCACATAAAGCACTTACCTGCAATTTGTTGTTTTGTGCTGGATTCGGCCGACAAAACATATAAACACCACGCCCACTCAATCCCCTAACAAAACTTATTACTGTTATTGGAATTACTAAAGGAAGTTATTAGCAATATCTAATGCTAGGATATTATTAAATGCGTCTTCATAAAGATTTTATGAAACATTATATTTTAAATGAAACTACTTATTCTGTGATTGCGAACATGATATGGACTAAGGTTTTTAAAGTGTTTAAAGTCCGATTATACAAAATTATACGATTTATGTTGTGTTTATCAATGATGGACGGACGGACAGCGGAGGCTTAGTTATTACTAAAGCTCCGCTGTCCGTCCGCCATGGCTGTTCTTTTGGCACCCTTCGGGTACGGAACCCTAAATAGTAAAAACTTATTACGTGAAAGCTTCCAATAAAATTTAAATATATTTCAAAATATCAATACCGGCAGAAAATACATCGACAAACGAAAACGAGGATAAGAATGAAACAGATAGACATATTTAGGAATTATATTACGAGTGTGACCTTTCTCGCAATGCGATAAATGTCGCAACACAGCGACACATAAAATCTTTTGCTTACGTAACGCGGGTGCCGTCCTTCCATCTTTGGGTAGTAAATTAAAGGGACGACGATGCATTCTGGATTAATGGATAAAGCATATTTCAAAGTGACATCATTGAGGAAACCATTCTGGTTCTTCGTAAAGTATTATCAAATAGTAAATCAAGTATAACTTATAAGCTCGAAAGCTTGTTTTATTCTAATTTAGTCGCATTTTCAATTCTATTATAGTTTTTTCTTATAATATTTCTTGAATATTCTCACAATGAAACATTCCTAAAATAGGTATTTAATGTTCAATTTTGACTCGATTATTACTCGACCCCCTCGGAAGGATGTTAATCGAGTGTATCTATACAGAAATTGGACAGCACTAATTCGGGCTATTCTTCGGGCTATTTTTGTTAGCTTGAATATGGTTGGCTATTTTTGTTAGCTTGAGTATGGGGATAATGGATATCGTTGATCCGCAAATAGTTAAACTGTTTTGTTTTACAAAAATGTGCAAACTAACGTAAGGTAAATATTGTAAAATTCATCTTACATTTGATATTATACCTATTAATTAAACAAATTTTAGTGATTTCTACAATTTTTACCTGTCATAAACGTAGTACGTACAATATACATACATACATATTTATGTACCTTTGGCACGCTCTGTAACTAAAACAGCTTTAACATATAAGATATCATTAGTAAAACTACCAAAAATCTCTAAACAGTAGGTAGGTTTCATGCAAGCTTTCATCCCCTTTTTTTACCTCCTTATAGGTTTGTTTGTCCTTCTTTCACGTCGAAACAGAGTGACAGATTGGCGTGATGTTTTGTATGGAGGTAGTTGGGGGGCTAAAGAATAACATAGGCTACTTATACGGCGGTAGACAATATCATTCCCACGGGAAAAACGTACAATATAATACAACCCAAAAATTATTTATGATCAGAATTACTTGAAACTTGGTATTAATGCTATTCAATACAATTAAATAAATATGTGTTTTAGCATTTTTCTAAAATCATCCCAAAGGGGGTAAAATAGGGCATCAAAGTTTGTATGAAAACTACTTTTAAGAGCTTTTTTTATAGTTTTAACATGAGCGAAGCAGCGGGTAGTAAGTAATAAGTCATAAACATGATATGTCAATCAAACATAATATCCTTCATTAATGCATTTTATCGCGGCTGATCAAAGGGCAGCCATAAAGTTAATTTTCTTTGAAGAGCATTTGCCATTTCATTAATACAGCCTACATATTTCTCGGCGCTATAACTGAACATCGTCTTAATGTTTCGATAGCCCTTCCATGCTTGCACCGTTACGCCTTAACCACGTTAATATAGGGACTATTTTCCATAAATATTAGTTTCACTTTCACGGAAGACATTCCACCACTGTTAGATTTAGGTGTTCTGAGAACTGAAAGCTAGCATTTCTAGACGTTTATTAGCGCACAGATAACTTGAAGTACAGTTTAGTAGTTAGGCAGAGTGGAGCCGCTGTTTATTGGCGATTGACTCTTGACATGAGAAAGTGTAATGTGTGCCGTCATATCACATAATATTAAAAAATATAATGTTAATTTTTTTATCAAAATCTATGGCTGTATTCACTAACTATATTTACTACTAGTGACTCACCCTGGCCTCGCTCGGGTTAGTCCCTAGGTTGATTCCTCATACAAAATGTCATACCCATTTTTAACCCCTTTTGGGATAATTTCCGGGATAAAAACTATCCTATGTCCTTCCCAGGGTATCAAGCTATCTTCTTACCAAATTTCATCTAAATCGGTTTAGTAGTTTCGGAGCCTAATCAGTACAAACAAACAAACGACCAAAATATCAAATCTTTCCTACATATCTTTCTAAAGAACAAACACTGATCGAATATTTCTAATTCAACCTTTTTTAAACATGTTTAAAATGTTACATAAATATTCAGACCTTTAATTAATGTTAAATAAGTCTTAATCTATGTTAGATAAACTGAGTTTTAATGATATCGATAACTTTTAAGAAAAGTATGTATGTAATAGTATTTCAAAAGCAATACAGTAAGTTAAATAA